AAAAAAAAAAAAAAAAAAAAAGTGAAGATAGTTGCATGATAGGTTTTTGAGAGCTTAGGCTATCTGGAACATCATGCTAATATGACAGTATGTAAAATGTCTTATGCTTTAAGAATAGGGCAAGCAACCAGAAATCCACATCCTGAATCACTTGGGTGGTTTGAGAGCTTTCTTTGTAGTTGAAGGAAAGTTTATTTTGGGAGATTGGGCTTACTTTTTTACTGACCCAGAGGCCAATACACGATGATAAAAATGTGATTCCAAAGAATACTCTGGGTAAAAAGAAAATGAAATTAATCAAAAGTGGTTATACACATTTGATCATATATGTGTTTTATATATAAAACAAAATTTACTTTTTTTTAGTTAACCAATTCTCCTACCTCAGCCTCTGTCTTAGCTGGGATTTTTGCCATGTTGGCCAGGCTGGTGTCTCAAACTCCTGACCTCAAACGATCTGCCCGTCGTGGCCTCCCAAAATGCTAGGATTATAGGCATGAGCCACCATACCTGGCCTAAAACAACTTACAAGTAGCTATGATATATAGTACATAGTAACTACTTTGGCCTCTTTGTAATTCACTCACTCAACTTCCTTACCTCATGTTTCGCTGGAAGTCTACCATTTCAGCAGATGTTCATTGATGACTATTTGTATTTGCTTTTTTTTCTGTGCTTTACGCTCTGTGTTCTCTTGTTCTGTCTAGCCTGCTGTTCATGTACAAGGTCAAGAACCTTTGACTGCTTCCATGTTGGCATCTGCCCCTCCTCAAGAGCAAAAGCAAATGCTGGGTAGGTACCTTTGTCCCACCTTGCCAATTCAGAGAGATTAGAAAATATAGGAATCACTTAGGTACCCTTTGCACCTAAAATTGGCAGCTAGGTCAATGGAATTGATCTGAATTGGCATGAATTATTATGATAGCAAAGTTGGTCTGCCTAATTAAAACCACTGGAAAGCCAATAAGAAAATGTATTGTTGGTAATGAAGAGGGTAGTAAGGTATTACTCACTGTGGACACCCACTACGTTTTTGAAAGAAGGAATTTGAAGCAAATGAGAGGAAAACTTGTGACTTTGTCTAAACACTGATTTAACAACCTAATGGTAACGTTGCTTAATTGACAAATCAATAGTGTCAAAAATGCCTTGTCAAAAATTGCCTTGTGGCAGATTTTACTCTGTTCTTCCCATGAAGACACGATACCGAAGTGGTAATTTAGGGCAGTTAAAAGGTTTTTTGTTGAAGGGAGTTTTTGAATGTTTTGTTCCTAGGTGAACGGCTGTTTCCTCTTATTCAAGCCATGCACCCTTCTCTTGCTGGTAAAATCACTGGCATGTTGTTGGAGATTGATAATTCAGAACTTCTTCATATGCTTGAGTCTCCAGAGTCACTCCGTTCTAAGGT